TATTATTATTATTTTCATCATATCTGTATTGACTTCAAGGCATGCATCTTCTCGGGATCTTGCCTTTTTCCATTGCTTATTTTTATCATTCTTTTAAATCACATCTGTTTGTATAGGCCTATACTGTATTTGCTTTTGTACTATGGAAGTAAATAAATGTCTTTTGAATTGAAATTGAATTGTTAATTATCTGATATTAAGCAGTGATTTAAAGAGTTATCCTATAGTGTGGGTCAGATATACCCTTAATCATATTTATAACTATATAGAAGCACGAAAGCCATGTCAAGAAATGTGAGTTGAAAAACATATTTATCACGAATGGAGGTACAAGAAATCGGAGGCCTTAGTTTCAATTGAGGAAGTAGCTTCTGCATCAATATTGACGAGTCGAATTTCATTCACCGTCTTAAAACTGTAATTCTGCGAAAAATTCTTGACAGCATGCACCAGCGATTCTGCGCAATCTTCCATACGACCACCAACTACTCCAGAGCCTATTAACGGAATTGCAATGGATGTAACTTCAAGGTTTACATCTGCATATTCCAGACAATTATAGAATGTTTGCTTCAGGAGGTACGAGAATTGGTTGTCTAATTTACTTGGTGGTCCAACAGCATGTAAAACATACTTCGCTTTAAGGTTGTGGCCACCAGTGTGTAGCACCTCTGTTACTTCTAACTCACGCCCTTCTCGATCGCTCATTTTTTGTTTTCTTTCCTCACTGATACCTTCACCAGCTTCCATAGAAATATCCCTAGCAACAGCCCCGCCTCGAAGTTTACCATCGACCCCATTAACAATTACATCAACATCTTCATCAGCGATGTCACCCCGCCTTATGATGACTTCAATTTCTCTTTCTATTATATATCTGGTCCCGTATGGTTGTCGATATGAATGTGCTAGTTCGCGTTCAGGGATATTCATTTTGTTTCTATGAATCCAATTCCAAGCAGCAATAGCCGCGTTCATCATCCTGTGGGCATCAGTCAGATACTTTAACCCCGTGTAGATGCATTGCAGAATGGCGTATACCATCGTAAATATCTTTCTGTGCACGTAAAGAAACAAGACAAGTGATTACAATCAAACACAATCATGAAAATCGTAATCGTGGATCAGTAGTGTGCTGCACGAAAGAGCAATAGGAATGATAACTTGATCAGTGACTCACATTATCTCTCTCTTAATTAAAGCTGAGCTACCTTTAGTTGAGGTATGGAGGAGTCTAAACTAATTTCTCCATGGTTGAGGCAAGCGATAAGACAAGAAACCGCTAATAAAATTTGAGTATGGCACCTCTAGATGGCCCGAAATGGCACTCTTAGACTTAAATTTGAACATAATTTTTTTTATTGCCATTTGTTTTACTATTTTGAAAAAATAGGGGGAGGGGGGCTGGGCCGCCTCCCTCCTCCCTCCCCCGGATCCCCTACTGAGTTATGATTAAATAGACTTCGTTGACAACAAAAATTAACGTAACCAGAATGCGTTATGCACGTGACCAAAAAAAAATATGGCCAAATGGTCAGTTTAGCAACAACATTTGCGTTAATATAATTTAGATTAAATTTCAGAAAATAAAAATTACAATATTTACCCACATTGAAGTCAAAAAATAATTGTAGGTTAACAGAATTCAAAAACTGGATGAAAACATTTTTTTTAACGAAAAACCCATACTGCCACAATCCGAAGCAGCTTTGATTACACAGCGTGTATCGCGGTAACTATGGAGCAATTTTGTTTTGTCGAGTATTTACCAGTTTTCTATTCGACTGGTCGTCTTCGTTAAGTAGGATTTTACCACTTCGCAGGGTGGGCGTGGTTTAACGCAGAACGACAAGTGACTAGTCGAGTACGGCCACTGTTGGGTGGAGACATAGAGCAAAGAGAAACATCTTTGATCTATGGTGGAGATGCCCGGAAGTTGATAGTCAAATGATGCACGATCTCATGTCTTTTGAATAAAAGTTAAAAAGGCAATATATGCTTTGTCGAGTGTGATTATTGTTTGTAAGGTACGGTACCCTGTTCATGGATTTACAACCCCTTAATCAGAGAAGTTTTTACAGTAGTCTTCTTGGATAAAGACGTCCAGTGATGGTGATAGGGGGAAGGGAAATTTTCGCTCGAATAATTTTCTTCCCCCCCCCCCAGTTCCTCCCCCACCTAAAGAAAGGAGAAAGGCCACAATTTGTCAAGGAAAAAAATTATATATATTTTCTATATATTAGTAAACTATCTATATTAAAAAAAATATATATAAAAAATTAAATAAGGCTCTGAAACCCCTAAATTGTCATATGTTTCGGGGGCTTTGAACCCCTGAACCACTTTCGAAACATTTTGAGTGACGTCCAAGCGGCCCTCTTTGCTGCCGTCGGGTACCTCGCTCCCCGCATCCCCCCCCCCGCCTGTATTATTACTGTCTCTTATACACATCTAGATGTGTATAAGAGACAGGGATATCCCCCACCCTTTGACTTTTTCCCTCACTTCCCCCACCCCATATTTCAGGCGCTGGCATCGTTACTGATAAATGGAGGTTCAGTGCACACATCTGGTAGGCCTACAAATTGCATGGTCTATTTTGGAAGAATAGAACCCTAATAGCTAGACCAGGTTTTGTATGCACCTTTGAGGTCCAGAGAACATTTTGCTAAAAAACAAACTCGATTTTTTTTTTTTTCAGATTACTATCAGTCTCTAAATTAACTTGCTCGTTGTGGTGCTGTCTAGAATGAGAAAAAAAAGGGACTTGTGTTGTGGCAAGTCTTCTCTACCACCTGTAATTGCGGAGATACAGGACCTATGACCTTTGACGCTGACTTTTGCCACATTAAAAAAAAAAGTGTTACCAAGCCAAAATTGATTTTTTAACCACTCTGAACCAAATTCTGAAGTCATATTCTCTGGACCTCAAAGTGCATACAAAACATTGTCTAGCTAGTAGGGTATAAAGGGTTACCACGGTGCTATGATTCATTTCAGCCTCTGTTATATCGTTGTGGAATTATTTGAACTGAGCGCCTCTCTCTATGGCTGCAACAGTACAGTAGTCACGGACCACGCCCATACACAATTCAGCACAATGACGGTCACGGAATTATAACAACATTAAACTAACGTAATCATAATATAATAACAAATATATTGTATATTGAAAATACAACCAAATAAAGGGAATGGGATTTAGCCTAGGTTCAGTACACTGTAAAAACAGCGTGTAGGATTTAAACGCGTCACCAAAAAGACAAGACAAAATTGCATGGAACTGTTTTTACAGTGGGTTGATCACTCTGAAAGCACAGTAATTCCTGACCGATACAGGTATAGTAGTATTACTGATGTAGGCCTACTGATATATTGCATTCATTAATGTACCGTATACCAGTAATGCCAAATCAGGAGAAATTATTCTTGAAATATACAACCTAGAGTAGACTATGTCCCAATATAAACGATAGGGGCAAATTATGGAATTAGGACCAAAAGCTCATATTCCTCGTCTGGGGACTGATGCAGGATTCGGTGGTAGGGGGTGCGTGCAAGAGCGCAGTTCTGTTTTGAAAGGTGTGGAAACATTTCGTGGAAATAGTACCTGTAGGTGGCTGTAAATGACACTTTTATATACAGTAGTAACATTCATCATATACTCAACATGAAGCGCCAACGAATTCTCATGATCTTTTATCAACAATTTTCGGCAACCACAGAGACCTAATTAATATGTGTGATGAACCATAGAAAATAAAACTTAAAAACATTGTCTTTGATGTACTTACTTTACCTACTTCAAGGCCGGGAGTCCACAACCACCTCAGCCCCACCGTGGTTGTGAGAAAATAGAGAAAATAGTAACTTTAGATTGGCGGAAATGACACTTTTATATAGTAAAATTCATCATCACATCACCATTATATAGTCTAAATGAGTGATGTACTATAGAAAATAAAACTAATAAAACACAGTATGATGTTTTTAATTTACATGACCTACCTCAAAGCCGTGAGGCCACCCCAACCATAGTGGGGCTGAGGAAAAAATTTGAGGAAATAGCACCAAGGTAATTCAACAATTAACTTGATAGCACCCTCTAAATGGCCGGAAATGACACTTTTAAATAGTAAAATTCATCATCATCACATGACCATTATATATTCAAAATGAAGTGCCAACAAATTCTCATGATCTTCTAACAGTTAGTTTCGGCAATCAATGTGGTTGGGGCTAAGGTGCGAAAATTTTGAGAATATGGACCTCTGGATGCCCGGAAATTGCACTCTCATTCCTTAAAAATCTTACCAATAATTCAATAATTATTACCAATAAGTCAACAATACAATACAATTATATTTCTTAATACAATTTAGGGGTACGATTGCACCGTCTGCACCACTGAATCCGCCCAGCCCGTCTACTATAAGCATGCCGCCGCCCCATTTTATTCAAACGGATGTACAGTAAGCTAATTTATAGCCGATTATGGACTTTGTTCATAACAGAGCAGGACATTTTTCGGAATACATTTTTTAGATCATTGTCAGAAACAAGCCATATGATATTTATTTAAAAGCTGGAAACACGCACTGCACATCAAACAATAATTATGTTAATAGTAATAATATTAACATTAATAATAATAGTAATAATTATAAATAGGTCTAATAATATTATATAATATGTGCCATGTATGCCTATACGGCTAAGCCTAACAACGGCACTGTTATCGCTGATGTAAAATCAATACCAGTACCTAGTATGAACTTCGGATTGTAGAATTACGAGCCTAGAAACTGTTCTTCTTTCTAGGAAAACTTTGAAAATCTACATAAAACGTTGTCCAATCACCAATAAAAATTCAACATCGCCTTACCCAGGATACGCTGCTGGTGTTATTAAGGGAAATCAAAGTACGAGTGTTCCCGGCGATAACTTTGGAATAGAAGTAGGTCTACATACAATGTAACATATGTGGCACTTGAGTCCGGTTTTCCTACTGTATTATTATTCCTAAACGTTTGCTTTTGTAAACACGGTGGAATAGGCACACACAATAGCAAGGTACATGTCCAATATATGGTGATTGAAAAACAGTTGCAAAAATAGCAATAGCGGAGCAAAATAATTATCGTAATGATTCCTATCCCTGATAATTTTAAGATACATGATTAGAAATATTTATATAGAATAAATATTAATATAGCCACCACATGCGAATTTACCATACAATCGACGATCTGCACATTCAGCACATTTTCTCTGGCCGGAAATGACACTTTTAAATAGTAAAATTCATCATCATCACATGACCATTATATATTCAAAATGAAGTGCCAACAAATTCTCATGATCTTCTAACAGTTAGTTTCGGCAATCAATGTGGTTGGGGCTAAGTTGCGAAAATTTTGAGAATATGGACCTCTGGATGCCCGGAAATTGCACTCCCATTCCTTAAAAATCTTACCAATAATTCATGTCAACAATACAATAAATTATATTTCTTAATACAATTTAGGGGTACGATTGCACCGTCTGCACCCCTGCATCCGCCCAGCCCGTCTACTAGAAGCATGCCGCCGCCCCATTTTATTCAAACGGATGTACAGTAAGCTAATTTATAGTTGATTATGGACTTTGTTCATAACAGAGCAGGACATTTTTCGGAATACATTTTTTAGATCATTGTCAGAAACAAGCCATATGATATTTATTTAAAAGCTGGAAATACGCACTGCACATCAAACAATAATTATGTTAATAGTAATAATATTAACATTAATAATAATAGTAATAATTATAAATAGGTCTAATAATATTATATAATATGTGCCATGTATGCCTATACGGCTAAGCCTAACAACGGCACTATTATCGCTGATGTAAAATCAATACCAGTACCAGTATGAACTTCGGATTGTAGAATCACGAGCCTAGAAACTGTTCTTCTTTCTAGGAAAACTTTAAAAATCTACATAAAACGTTGTCCAATCACCAATAAAAATTCAACATCGCCTTACCCAGGATACGCTGCTGGTGTTATTAAGGGAAATCAAAGTACGAGTGTTCCCGGCGATAACTTTGGAATAGAAGTAGGTCTACATACAATGTAACATATGTGGCACTTGAGTCCGGTTTTCCTACTGTATTATTATTCCTAAACGTTTGCTTTTGTAAACACGGTGGAATAGGCACACACAATAGCAAGATACATGTCCAATATATGGTGATTGAAAAACAGTTGCAAAAATATCAATAGCGGAGCAAAATAATTATCGTAATGATTCCTATCCCTGATAATTTTAAGATACATGATTAGAAATATTTATATAGAATAAATATTAATACAGCCACATCATGCGAATTTACCATACAATCGACGATCTGCACATTCAGGCACAATGTTGAACCAGTTGCAGCAAATCCCGACACATTTTTAGTCGGCTGCTGGACACGAAATGCGATGAGGCACGACATCTATCGACAGTAGCCCACCGAGAACGGAGTTTCATTGGCCGATTGTCACTGACCCCATAGAGATGAGATGGGTCGATCAACTTTCAAGGCATCTGTAGCCCTCCGAGTCTACAGCCAACATTTGGAATTGCATAACAGGCCGGAATAGAGGCAGACCAAAATGCATCTGATTTGATGTTGTTTTTATTATTGTTTATGTTTTTGTTATTGTTGTTTTGACCAATGTTTATTTAGTTTTAATGTAAATACTTGACTAGTTGTTTAGTTGAAAATTGTTATAATTGTTAGTGCACTAAAAGTGGTCTTATAAATACTCTATTTAGAGGGAAATTCGAAATCAACACATTAAATATAAGATCAATTGTTTTATTCCAACTGTTTTAAAATGATTTAGTTACTGTAAGCTTCTGTCGATTCTTAATATAACACTTTAAATATTTCTCACACATAAATTATTCAAAATAAAATCAAATTAACAACTGTTTTAAGGGTTTATTAACTTTTAATTAATAAAAAAAATATCTACTAAACAAATACTATACTTCAACAAAACCTATTAACTCATTAACCATAAGTTGAAGATACAGAGCTACTCAGCATGAGCTGTTGTAAAAAAGGAAGTTATCTTCTTCTGTTTAATAGGACATTTCTTCACCCATGGCCAAAATCAAACAATCTAGGGCCTAGGCATTGTTTAACCAAAACATCTTGTCTTTTACTGTACTCTCAAAATAGAATCGGGAAGAAAATTCATTAAAAATTATTGAAACTTTTGTGAGAGGATACCATGTGTACAAGGATATCACTTCATATACAGATTCCTACAGAAAGTAAGGAATTGTTACTGAGAATGGAGCCAGGCAATATTGAAGATACAGATCTGTCAACCCGTACGTATTCGCCATAAGTCTTACGCATTCGAATCAAATCTCGGTCTTACTACGCAAACACCTGCAAAACTTAGGCTTATCCTAAAATTTGAGTAAAATTTCTTTCTTTTTCAATTTTAATGAATTTTACTATAACTAACATTCATCATCATAACATTCTACCTGCATGATTATACGGTCCACTGCGCCAGCACTTCTCCCCATGAAATCGCCATTAATATCGACTAAAATAGTAATCACTGCGCCCTCTCTAGCTATGTGCGTGGCCTTTGAATACACAGTTATATCGATTAGATTGCCATTTTCAAAGCGTCCAGGTGCCTTCGGCCCCTGGGTCCCGACCGGGAGCCCTTGGCGGCACCCCTGGCCTGCAGCCACTGTTCATGCCTTCGGCACTCACATGTCACCCGATCTTACTCTTTGAAATTTCTCAAGGTTGACAGGTATGAAGATGCTAGTGCAGTAGCTTGTGAGGAGCTTGGCCTAGGCCAGAAGAAATAATTTTTGCAAAGAAACAGAAGTTCTAGGACACATTCCAAAACAAATCAAGATGTCACCTTGTTTCTAAAGCGACGTTCAAACGGAGGTAGAGTTGTCATCACTGGGAAGCCAGTAAATAGAGGAGCAGGATACGGGATGGAAGTGCCATGTACTTATATCTTCAGTGGAGACAGAATCACTAGTATGGCTAAAGCCTAAGATTAATGTGGATTGCACAAAATAAAAGATGACAAAAACTAGAAAGTTTCTAGCAGGGGATTGCAGAAATGAAATGGAAGTAGAATTAATGATCAACAAAGAGCACTTCTGTACATTTAAAATGGAGCAAATATACGCAAAATATCATGTTAGTAAAAAAAAAATGCATGGTAATATTATGTATGTAGAAATGTAAACATTTATTATAAAAATTGCATTATATTTTTTAAAAGTGGTCTTTAATTGGGGGGGAAAATTTTCACCCCTCTTCCTCCTTGTTCCCTACATTCATATCAACTGTCACTCCATTCCATCCATACGTTTTTTTTTTTATTTCACCCCTCTCATCGGCTCTTATTCCCCCACCTAGTGAACCTTTTTTTATAGATTATGACTAGTGAACCTTCTGTTCAATTATGAATAGCGAGCATTTCTTTTCAATTATGACCATCGAACCCCACTGTTTTATTATGACTTGCAAACATAATGAATAGCAGCCGTTTGTTTATATTATTACTAGTGAACGTTTTTGGTTTTTTTTTTTATGACTGGCGAACCTTATAAATTGTGGTCCTTTAGTATAATTATGAGTAGTGAGCCATTTTCTTGATTATGACTAGCGAACCTTATATATAGTGGTCCTTGTTTTTTTTATATTGTTGTATTTGTTGTTGTGTTTGTACCTTTTGACGTAAATACATGTCTCCCTCTAATTATTTTATTTCATTTTATTTATTTCCAGACAAGAATACAGTACAATAGAAAAGAAAAACAATGACAAAAAAAAAAAAAAAAAAAAAAAAAAAAAAAAAAAAAAAAAGCCTGAGGATTACCTAAAAGCCAACTTAATCACTATCTAAAGGCTCTCCAAAACATTAAAAAGACAAACATTAAAATCTAAAAAAATTCACAATTCATATATGTACAATATAAAAAGTTAATAAAAATTACAGACTCCTCCAAGTAAAGAGTAACTCCAATTAAAGATCACTTCTCTGTGGTCCCATAATAACAAATGCGTTTTATCTGTATTTTTTTAATTAGACATCTAAAGGTGCCAAAGACCACGGAAACCCCGGTCCCAAAAGTGGTCTTATTGTTGGAGACCAGTATGTAGGCCTTTGATGGCGTTGATAACGATGATCATGGCGATGATGGAAATGATGATGATGTTAATGATGATGACATTGATGAAGGATGATGATGAGGAGGATAATAATGACAATGATGATAATAATAATAATAATATAATAATTTATTGTGTTACTGTATTACACTTTCGTAACAATGGCACACTTCACATCGTGAAGGTACGTCTTGAATAGAAAGTTACAAAAGTAATCAATTAATTAATGTTAGATAAAAATGTAAAAGAGCCTACACAAACACAAAGCAGGTAATATTCATAGATCTACGTCAAATACAAAAATACATTAAAAATTATGTAGACCTTAATCAATAATAAAACAAAAATCCACAGTAGTCTCTGATTAGATAACTTTCGCTCGATCGTTGATGATGTAGGCCTACGTCAAAATCCTATCCCATTTTTCTCCAACAAAAACCAAATTGTCAAAGTTGAAAAAAAAAACCCTTTCACTATAATAATTAGTCACCTTCAAATATTATACTGCCTTTAAAGTATACAGCATTCCGAAAATCTACAAAATACTAACGAATGCAAATTAGAATAAAGATACAGTCATCAACCCCGCAATAGGGCAAATAAATTCAGTCACTTCAAAGCTCCTTGCCCTTTTGGTAAAACTTTTGATGCTGAACATTCATGTAATTCAATGTTGGCCTATTTGAATAGAACGCCAGAAGTCGAGTTCCAGACACACTCGGTTAACCATTCCATGTCTAGAATGTTATTATAGACATAGCTTGTTCCTACAGTTCTGGTGGTGGAACAAGTCTTCTCGAATAAGGACTATAAACCGTAGGCCCAGTGTACACAAATGCTCATATGCACTTTAAAGAAACCAGTACATCTTTCGAGATGAGTAGGGGGTTACCTCGGTGTACTGGTTCACTCGGCCCCTGTCGTGGACAGATGAAAGTGCGCCGGTTTACTGGCTGCAGAGGACATTAAGTGACCCTCAGGGGAGGAGAAAGTTATAGTGCAACATCTAGTCCCGAGCGCATAGAGACCTCGTTTATTTGCGCTATATAAATCCATCTATTATTATTATTATTATTATTGTGGATCGTTTTGTAGGGTTGAAAAAGTAAATAGAAAATGGTAGATATCTTCATCGAAGTCTCTATTAAGTGCTACAGCTAAAAAGCCCCAAAACCTATTTACACATTTTTTTTATATGAATATTTATCAGTATTCAGTGCATAAACAAAGAAAAACATAAATATAAAACGAAAGATCACATATAAGTTGCAGCAAAGTTAGACGTAGCCACAGCGTGCTCAAATACTGAAAACGCCACCAACCAACTAAAACTTTTTTAGCAAAGATCTTATAAACACAAGATAGCGTTCTCCGCGATTTACGCGTAACAAATAGAAGCGTCGGTCAAGGGCCAAAAGTTTCCCATTTAGCAAGAGGGCGTCATTCATGCGCTATTACCGAAGAGAAAAAGTAATAAGTTTTGGAAGAGGGCGTCCTATCGGTTGCCATGGATCTGAGATGGTTCCTGTTCTGCTGTTCA